CACTTGGAAGGCAGAGGCAGGCAGATCTCTGAGTTCAAGGCCAACCTGGTCTACAGCATGAGTTCTAGAACAGTCAGAGCTGTACAGAGAAACATTGTCTATAAAAAGGGAGTGTGTGGAAGGATATAAGCATTGATACATTAATAAGAGTTAAGATTTCTGCACCAGAGGCTGCATCGTATAAATGTTCTTTTTCATATTGGCTGTGTGTGTAGTTCAATGTCAATGATTAAGTGGGAAGTAATACTGTCACCTCCATCACACAATTGTGAGGATTAAAACTACACACACATATATAAGTATTTATAGTTTCTAATTATAATAACTCAGATTGTCTAGAAATAAAAGGTATCCTATGACTTTATACTGAAAGGAAGATGAAGAGCTAACCTGGAAGACTAGCCATGGACTAGACTGGTACTCATAGGCCTCTGGAAGAAGTGTAAATTTCATCCTAAATGAATACAGGAATCCTTTGGATGGTTTCAATTAGAAGCATCACTGTTTATACAAAATAGAGTAGAAATACATGTAAACTTGGGCCAATCAGATGGCTCAACAGGTAACGGCATTCACCACCAAGCCTGGCGACCTGAGTTCTATCTCCAGAGTCCTTATGGTTGAAGGAGAGGACTGACCCCTGTAAGTTGTCTCATGAGTCTCCATGCTCATGATCTCTCTCTCACACACACACTCTCTCTCTCTCACACACACACACACACTCTCTCTCTCTCTCTCTCACACACACACACACACACGTTCTCTCACACAGAGACACACTCTCACACACACAGAGACACACTCACATACTCTCACACTCACACACAGACTCACACTCTCACACACAGACACACACTCACACGCACTCACACACCCAGACATACACTCACACACACATTCTCTCAACTCTCTCACACATACTCACACACACTCACACACAGACACACACTGACACTCACACACTCACACACAGAGACACTCTCACAATCACACGCAGACTCACACTCTCACACACACAGGCACACTCACACACAGGCACAATCACACACTCTCTCACACTCACACACACTCTCTCAAACACACACAGAGGCACACTCACACACTCTCAGTCACACACAGACTCACACTCTCACACACAAACACACTCTCACACTCACACACACTCTCACACTCACAACACTCTCTCACACTCACATACACACTCACACCCCAGAAATACTGGCCGTGCCTTTGTACTTGCACTTCAATTGTGACCATTCGCTCGCACCCCCTCCTATGTGGGACAGGTTTTTCCTTCCATTTATCAAAACTCTACCCATAAAGAGACAAGCAAGCTGCATGGCATGAGGATCTGTGGCGACTAAGAAAAGTGTAGAATTCAGGCACTGCAGGTAGAAAGTTAGCAATGGCACTGTAGTGATAAACCTGGTTCACTGGCTAGGTGTCAGGCCTGGGAAGCAGTTAAGGAGCCCAGGAGTCCTGTGGGGTTAGAAGAAAAGGTCTAAAATGACAGCTCAGGAGTGAGGATATGAGGTGTATTCAGGGAAGGTGGTCAAGGCAAAGCTGGAACTCCTGCAGTCAGCACACCCCAGGGACTCAGGCTTTTATGCCTGATTTGTATGAATGGGACCAGAGGAAAAGATTTGGTGCTTTCCATCCAAACCTATGCTTTAATGAATAGAGGAACAGTAGGGGCTTCCCCATCAAATCTTGACGATTTGTTTCATCATTGTTTACCCAGCGGTTCCCCATCTTCCCAATGCTGCAACCTTTTCATACAGTTCCTCATGTGGTGACCCCAACCATAAAGCTTTCATTACTACTTCACAACCGTAATTTCACTACTGTTATGAGTTGTAGTGCAACTCTCTGAATCTCCAGTTATGCTAACTGTTGCACACATTCTAGTTTTCTTAATAATACAAACCTGGAGTCAGCTATCAGGAGGTGAAAGCTGAAGGGTCAGAGAAGCAAAGGAGCCAGCCACAAGAGAGACCTCTTACCTCTATCTACTGAATCCTCAGACCAAAGGGGTGATCCTGTCCTCACACTGCTGCCTCAGACTGCCACGAGCTCCTGTCTCCTCCCACCTTAATTCTGCACTCCACCTGGCCATATCCCTTCCTGTCTCCACCTCCCTAGTGCTGGGATTAAAGACGTGTCACTCAAGTGCTGGGATCACCTTTGTGTGAACTCTGTTTCTCTTTTAGACTGGATGAATTTTGTATAGTCCAGGGTGGCCTTAAACTAACAGAGATCTGTCTGCCTGTCTCCTGAGTGCTGGGATTAAAGGTGTGTGCCACCATTGCCTGGCCTCTATGGCTAACTAGTGTGACTAGCTTTGCACTCTGATCTTCAGGCAAGCTTTATCTGTTAGATCATAAATGAAATATCACTACACATAATGTCCTGCAATATTAATACTTACAAGGAGTGTTTTGGTTCTGACAACATGAGATACTATGCTAATGTGAATCAACATGGACCACAAATGCTAAATGAAATTTAACATAGTCAAGATTACAGAAGAAAAGGGGGGGAGGGAAGAGAAGAGAAATCCCAAATGCCAAAACAAAAGAGCTCAAATGAAAGTAGTAAATTCCAGTTGTGCATAATAACTTGGAAAACTGGGTATGGGGTCTGTGCATGAGAACCTAGGGCCCAAGGTGGTAGACTGAGAGTCCACACTGGGAAATAATGCATGCCCTTGGGAAAGACTTGGGAAAGGCAGAGTTACACTGGAATTCCTGAGTGAGTCCTGCTTAACACTTAAGTCCATGACAAGGGAGCATAAAAATGAATCTATCTCAGTGGCTCACAGGCACAGCAAAGGAGCTCTCTGCCTGATGAAAGACAGAAGTTTCCAATGGGAGTAGAGATGGGATATCAACCAAATAATGAAGTAGGACATTCTTAATGAACATTAATCTCCAGATTAGTCTAGGATCTAGACGATTGCTTTAGCCCTGCTAAGAAAAATATTAAATATCAATGTAGAGTTAGTCTCACAGGTCAGGGCACAACATGGAGAGAGAAAAAAAACACCATCTCCCCAACACCCACAAGAAATCTCAGTGCATGAAGAGGTTTAGAAATAAAGCAGCATGAGTGACATGTCACATATACAGCTACAGGGGAGCCTTTGCATCCTAAGAGCTAGCCACAACTGTATGTGGAGTAAGACTACGAAAACCAGGCTTAGGCCCATACTTGGGAGGCTGAAGCAGGAGGATCACAGGCTTGTTGTTGTTGTTTTTAAAGAATTGTTTTTCTTGGAAAAACAAACAAAAGAAAAAATCAACAATTTTTTTTTGTGTATGTATGTGCAGGTGTCTGGTCCGAAAGTGGGTGTCTGGTCCTCTGGAACTGGAGTTACAAGTGGTTGGTTGTAAAACACCCTATGTGGGTGTTGGGAACTGAACCCTGATTGTCTACAAGAACAGTAAATGTTCTTAACTGCAGAGTCAATTCTCCAGCCCAAGTTGTAGGTTTAAGGACATCTCAGGCAATTTACTGAGGTCATGTCTCAAAATTAATAGTAAAAAGAAGGGTGGAGTTTAACTTAATGGCAGAAAGTTGCCCAGCATGAGTAAAGCTCCAGTTGAAACCCCAGTCCTGGAAGAAGAAAAAATGATTAAGGAGTTGATAGTAGACCTTTTATTCATAAAGGAAACTTACTACAGTTGATCCTATCAAAATTCAAAACTTCTAGCTGGCAGAAGTTGGTGTGTGTGGGGCTTGGGTTCAGTACTCATCATTCCACCTCAAAATTTAAAGTTCTGTTCTTCAGCATCCATAAATATTGAAGACTAAGCTACAGACTAGAAAAATGTGGTCCAAAGGGATTGAAGAAATATGTGTGGAAAAAGTTAAGAGATGGGAAACAAGACGGGATCTCGGGATATGGACAAGTGGTTGTCTTAGTGTTTCTACTGCTGTGATAAAAACTTTGGGAGGGGGGTCACTTCATCTCAGTTTGTACTCCATCATCAGGGGAAGGAAGTACAGACAGGAAGTCAAGACAGAAACCTGGATGCAGGAGCTGATGAAGAGGCCACAGAGAAATGCTGCTTACTGGCTTGCTCCTCGTGGCTTGTTAGACCTGCTTTCTTATAGAACCCAGAAGCACCAGCCCAGGGGTGAAACCACCCACAGTGATCTGGGCACTCCCCAGTTATCAATCAAGAAAATGCACTACAGACTTGCCTACAGGCAAATCTTATGGAGGCATTTTCTCAATTGAAAGTCCCTCTTCCCAAATGATTCCAACTTGTGTCAAGTGAGCATAAAATTGATCAGCACGGTGATAAAGTGCACACCTAATATGCATGAGATCCTCAGTTCAATTCTCAATACTGGGGGGAAACAAAGTCAGGATGTGCTAAATGCCAATACTAGGAGTTATCAGAGAGGAAAGTAGCAAGACAGACACTGTTCAAAAGATAACAGGTAAAACTATGCACTACTTTTGGGAAAGACATAAAAGTGTAAGCCCTCCCCTATATTAAAGAAACAGGAGTATGCTCATAGGAATGCTTGAACAAATGGATAGAATACTAGATAAAAAGTAACCAGAGACAAAAGCAATGTTACCACTAAATAGTTAACTATTAGGGGCTTAGGAGATGGCTCAATCGGTAAAGCATTTTCCTCACAGATATGAGGACCTGAGTTCATATCCCCAGAACCCATGTGAAGCTGAGTATTATAGTACATGTCTGTAATCCCAGTGTTCCTATGATGAGATAGTCAGTAGGGACAGGAGAAATTCTAGAAGCTTGTTGACTGGCTAGCATGGCTTATACAGCAGTGAACAAGACACCACATCTCAAACAAGGTGAAAGGTAAGGACCCACACTCAGCATTGTCCTCTGACCACCACATACATACCGTGATACATTACTCTCTCTCTCTCTCTCTCTCTCTCTCTCTCTCTCTCTCTCTCTCTCTCTCTCTCATGTACTTTTTAGAAAAAGAATAACTATTACACTGACAGCAGATTTCTCAGCAGAATAATAACATCTTCAAGAATAGATTAATGTCTTCAAAGAAAGATCAAACTTAAAATCATACATGTAACTGAAATGTCTTTTAAAAATAACAGAAATAAAGACACTCTCAGACAGATCAAGTCAGTTCACCGAGTGTGGCAGGAAGTTATGAAGACCTGTTGAAGTTATACCTGGAGTAACCAAAAAACAAAAAAAGAAAGAAAAGAAAGTCATTGAAACAAAGGTGAAGACATCAGATAGAAAAAACAACCAACAGATAAACTGCCAAACAAATAGATTAAACATATACAAATATCACTTACATAAATGACAGTAATAATATAAGCAACTGATTGGAGAACAACAAACTTAAATAAAATACCAGTTAATAACAACATATATTTACAAAACAACTCCTGCAATGAAGGCTCAGGGAACATTGTGGAAGAGGTGGAAAGATTGTAAGATCCAGACCATCAGGGAGTTTGCTGTGAGGTTGTGTCTCTAAGCAATGTCATATATAGAGCCTACATCCAATAACCACAAATGGCTTCATTCTCAAGACCATTTGTGAGAAGGCAAAGACATGGATATACGCGGACTATGCTCCACATCTTAAAGGAAGTCTTCCCAAATATTTAAGAACCACACATTGTGTTTCCTGAGCATAATGTGGTGAAGGTAAAAATAAGCAACAGATTTTTCTTGGTTGTTTTGAGAAAGGGTCTCACTACCTATCTTTGGCTGGCCTAAAACTGGCTAAGTAGACCAGGCTGGCCTTGAACTCAAAGATCCTCTGCCTCTGGCTGGGATTAAAGGTGTGTGTGTGTGTGTGTGTGTGTGTGTGTGTGTGTAGCCAGGCTCAACAACATTTATTTTTTTTAATGTTTGAAATTTTAAAAACATGCTTCTGATCATTCAGCCCTAACAAGCTCAAGTACAAGAAGCACAGAAGGGGCACCTGCCAATCCACAGGAGTGTGTGTTTTAACATGATTAAAATTAATGCACTGACTATAGGCATCAGAAAATGAATGGCATTGTTAGACAGTAGAAGGGACAACAAAGAAAATGACTGAAATCCATTCTATGAAAATCAGACACTGTGACAATTCAGATCTTTGGCAAAACCAAGAGACCTTATTTTTATCTGTTTTTAGACACTCTTTTATACTTTAAGTATATAAAATAATTTTAATTGGCGATATCTAAGATTCCACAAATATAGTAGGCCAGCCTGGGATAAGTTTGGTCCAAGATAAAAAACAAAAACAAGAGAAGGCTCAAGTAAACAACATTGTAAAGAAAACAAAAAACTTAGTTAAAATAACAATATAATTTCTTTCATTAATATAACATACAAGCACACATTTACACACAAATTTTAATATCTAACTTAGAAGCAGAAAATAAACTAGATCTATGATCATAAACAAAAATGGAATAATGGTTAAATCTATCACAAAGAAAACTCAGCCCAGCATTGGTGGCGCACGCCTTTAATTCCAGCACTTGGCAGGCAGAGGCAGGTGGATCTCTGTGAGTTCGAGGTCAGCCTGGTCTACAGAGCGAGTTCCAGGACAGCCTCCAAAACAATACAGAGAAACCTTGTCTCAAAAAACAAAACAAAACAAAAAAGAAAACACAAGGCTCATGTGATTTTAGTCAAGCTCATTTCCAGGAAATGAACTAAAAACTGGAAAATTCATTTTATGAGACTAGTATATCCTCAACACTAAAGCCAGGCAATGATTATACAAGAAAGGAAAATACAAATCAATCGTGGTCAAAATCATAAATGTATAATGGAAAAGTCCTAAACAATTCAAGTCCAGATATGTAGGGGCTTTTTAATCCTGCCAAACTGGATTTATCATGCAATGATTAATTACCAGAAGGAAAAAATTCTGTAATTTCATCACAACACATTAATAAAAAAGCAAGCCATGTGACTTTCTCTGAGGATACAGGAAAAGCATTCAATAAAATTTAACAACCATTCATGATTTTAGAAAACACACAACTCTTAGCTAAGTGAGAAGAAACAGACTTTTCCAAGCCTGGGGATGGGGATATATACTCAATAGTCCAATGTTAATAGTGAGTGTCCTGAAAACATAAAATATGTAATGATAACATCACAGGAGCAAAACTATTATAGCATGGTAATCACTTGCTTAAAATTAAAACCCCTTGGATTAGACCACCATGGCCTCATTATTAGAGCCTGGTTTTGGTGGGGTTTTTTTCTGGCTCTCTGACCTGTGGTTTAGTCTTTTGCTATGCCTTGAAACCTTTTGTTGAAAGTTAGACATGATATATATACTGGATACAAGAAACTGAAGTAAATAGGTCACCCATGTGAGGCTTTATATTATCTGGTCGGGAGTTGCTGTTGGCTGTGGCTGTTGGTATTAGAAACTAAAATGTCCTCTTGTGTCCTTGTTTCTGCCTCCCATTGGCTTTAGGTTTCTCTAATATAGGTTCTCTTTAGTAATGTCTGAGACATACAATTCCTTCAGTTATATTCTCTAATCTTACAAAGGGATCCAAGTGACATAGTGATAAAGTATAGTTAGATTTATGATTAAGGGGCAGGCAAAATGACTTAGCAGGTAAAGAGCTTGCCCAAGCCTGAGGAGGAAGGAAAGGAGGGAGGGAGGGAGGGAGGAAGGGAGGGAGGGAGGAAGAGAAAACTGATAATCAGCTGAGTGTTGGTGCCATACACCTTTAATCCCAGCACTCAGGAGGCTGAGGCAGGCGGATCTCAGAGTTCAAGGCCAGCCTGGCCTACAGAGTGAGTTCCAGGACAGCCAGGACTACACAGAGTAATTCTATGTTGAAAAAAAACAAGCAAATGAAAAATATAGTTACTAAAATATTCTATTAACTGTAGAAAGAAACCTCTTAGGTACCAATCTAACAAAAGACCAAAAGTATGTATGAAAAAATACAAAGGCAATTTTTAAAAATATTTCTATTTATGCCTCAAGGATTTCCTGTGTGCATACAATGCATTTTAACTCCCCCACAGCCTCTCCAGCTCCCCCAACTCCACTGTACATGTCCTCTCCCCAAGTTTATGTCTTCTTTAAAAAAAGATCAGCCACCAAGTCCAATTTAGCTGAGTGCGGACATGGCATGTAATCCCTGCAGCTAGGAGTTTATGGCAGGAGAGTTGCAAATTTGTGGCCAGTATAGGTAATCTGGTAAACTCAAGGCCAGCCTGAGCTACGAAGCCAGGTGCTGTCCCCCCACCCCCCAAAAAAGTCAAGAAATTTAATGTAGTGACAGAGTAATTGCCTACACCATGCAAGGAACCCTGGACTAAATCCCCAACACTACTAAAAATCTCTGTAAATGTACATATACTTCCTGGGTCACAACAATTCCACTCTATATTTGCCTCTGTTTTGTTTTGTTTTTCAAGACACCGTTTCTCTGTGTAGCTTTGGAGCCTGTCCTGGAACTTCTTCTGTAGACCAGGCTAGCCTTGAACTCACAGAGATCTGTCTACCTCTGGGATTGCAGGCATACGCCACCATCGCCCGGCTAATATTTGCCTTTATCAATGTGCTTTTCAGCTGTTCTCCCAATGCAAAAGAAAGAGTGGCTAATACTGTTAGTACTTGAGCATAAAGCAAGGCCATGTTACTAATTGTTTTCTTCATTAGTATATCTTTACTGTCTGGCACTCAAGGCAAAATAACAATAGCAGCAGCAATAATAACAGTAATAGTAATAATAATAATTCAGTTTTATAAATGAAGCAATAAAATGTTAATAAATATTATTAAATCTCAGGCGTTGTCTTGAGTGTGCATCTTTTTAATATTAGGGTTAATGAAATGGGAACTATGCATAGAGCTTCTGCCTGCCAAGGCTTGATAGTGGTCTTTCAAAGAAAACCGTTTAAGAGTTGTTTTGAACTATGAGCTGAAGTTGCCACATTTTTTTTCAGGGCATACCATTTTCACTTGAAAGAAAGACTCACAAACCATGGTTATTCAGACTTGGGGATTTGGCAGGCATTTTCTTTAAAAAAAAAAATGAACAAAGTGAGCCCTGTTACTCAGGATGGAGACCAGCTGCATCTGTTGCCAAGGATGAATACCGAGCTTTCAGGCAAACCCAGAATTCTGGGGAAGTTACATCCATCACCACAATCTTCACAATTTTTTAAAATAACTTTGATTATCAAGTCAGAAGTGATATATAAGTGTGCACTTTGACATTGATGACATCTGTCAGCATCTCTAAGGGACACGTAGACCAGCAAACTCATGTTTTCAAATGAGCAAGAAGGACAGACAGGTTTGTGTGACAACACATAGGGACATTTATGTGATTTCAGAGACTACTAAAGTAACCTTTAGAAACTATTATTTGTTGAATTCGGAATTAGGTTCTTTGATGAAAGATTTCCCTGATGATTTGAGACTAGAAGGGTTTGCTTCCCTTTTACAAGTACACATCTGTATGATGCCTGTTTCTTCATATACTTCAGTCAGACAGCATATTGCAACAGCCTGGATGCAGAGGCAGACATGCAGACCCGCAGACTGTGCTATGAGGAGACTTGTAAAGGTGCAAAGCAATGCCTTCTTCTCACTTTATATTTCGACATGGAAAATAGCTCTTTGTCATTAAAAAAGCGTGCAATTCCTTACTGTTATTTGGTAATGAATTTTAAAATAGTTCTGCCTCTCGGTTTCAATTTTGAATTAACAGACACAATCTACATAGACAAAAACTATTTGGAGTCTTTAATAATTCTGATGGTGTGAAAGAGACCCAAGAGAAAAACTTTGAGGCGTTTTGTCCTACAGATAAAAAACTCCCATCTGTCTCCCCAAGAAAAAGGGGAATAAAAGAAAACTGTTCCTGGTAGCAATGTTGTTGACTCCTCTTCAAGAACATACTATTGGCCGGGCGATGGTGGCGCACGCCTTTAATCCTAGCACTCGGGAGGCAGAGGCAGGCAGATCTCTGTGAGTTCGAGGCCAGCCTGGTCTACAGAGCAAGTTCCAGAACAGCCTCCAAAGCAATACAGAGAAACCCTGTCTCGTAAAACCAAAAAAAAAAAAAAAAAAAAAAAAAAAAGAACATACTACTGAATGGGTAAACACCTTAAGTGATACAATAAAAATAGCTTTTGAAGTTCACATGAATGTGCTAGGTTTGCTAGGATT